TCTCTCATATACACACACACACACACACACACACACACACACACACACACACACACACACAGACATTTACTTAGCTGTCTAAATGGGGACATTCCATAGGCGTAATAGTTTTTGTACTGTACAAACTGTATTTTCTATCACCCTACACCAACCCTACACCTAAACCTACCCCTTACAGGAAACTTTCTGCATTTTTACAATTAAAAAAAAACTTTGTTTACATTATTTTTATACCAGTTTTACAAACGAGGACATCCCCAAAGGGAGGTTTTTGGAGATTTTGTCAGGTTTAGCTCACTTTTGGGTACAAATCTGTCCGCAAAATATGGTTAAGTAGGTACACACACACACACACACACACACACACACACACACACATACACACACAAGGTCAGACTTTTAGTTCAGCACTGTTGGCTCTGTCCTTGGTTGATTTGTTAGTTGAAGCACTCTGCATGTATTTTGATTTTCTTTTCTCTTACCTTTGCTCTATCCATCTCCTCACTAATGATGAATAATACGCAGCTGGCCATAAGATGAGTCATATCGGTCAATACTCACTGACTTTCTCTTAGCAGCTATTCATTTACTGTATTCTAAATGACAAATCCGCGATGGTCTTCACTCAGTCAGTACATTCTCATTGTAGCATTTTTACAAAGAAGGCCTCAGCCAAAATATAATGAATCAGGATTTGTGGCTTCTGTGTCTACTGCTTTTTGTCTGTTGATTATTCTATATCAATCACACTATTTAAGAAATGAATAGCATATCAGCAACTCAGCTTTCTAACAAAGCAGTTACATTTCTAATGACTATTCTTACAGATATCCAAGAGATTTGCAGGTTACAAATTAAACCCATTTTACAGCTTGTCATATTGACATAACAAAAAGCCCCTTGTACATCTGCGGTCTGTAGACCACTGCAATACTGTGTTCACACAGGCACATTCTCAATAATAGGCTGTTGATTCATTGCTGTAGCTGTGTCTTGGAAAATTGAGTGATCAGCCAAGCAAACCACTTTATTTGGTGCATTCGCTTTAATCTATATATTTTTGTGTCCTACAAATGGGATGTTAGCAGGAACACATAGTGTAGCTGTTTCTTAAAGATACACCACTGAAAGAATCAATGTGTTTTAATTTTGCCTTTAACTGAGCTGTTATCCTAAAGGGATAGTTCATCCAAAATGAAAACTCTGTCATCATTGTTGTTGCAAGCTGGGATGACCTACTTTCTTCTTTTTAACACACATGGAAAAAAATATTTAAATTTGAAATAATATCTGTGTTTTTTGGCCATACAATTAAAGTTAGTGCAGTTCTGTTGTTTTTTCATAACATGGACAAAAACAGTTAAAACATTCTTTAAAAATATTTTGTGTTCTGCAAAAAC